ATAAGTCACATGGCATAGCATTTGAACATTAGAAACTTAAATATAACAATGTATGCTTAAGAGGCACCGTGTCCGATTCCAAAGCAAATTCTTAAACAATAAAAATTTCATGAGAATATAAATAACAAGTAGAATATTTAATTTTCTTACTTTACTTACTTTCATGTAAAAAATAAAGTTGGAGTCAGGTATTGTTGTTTAAACACTCATCATTTGCAAGTTTCTATATTTTTACTTTGTCTCTTTACACAAATTGCTTGAATTGTTTCTCTCGAAACAGCTTTTCACGGATTTTTTTTTACAAAAAATATGGATTGTAAAGAATAGAGAATGGGCTCAAGTGTAAATAAAACTTTGCATCTCACTTTGAGCAATTGCTGTAATCATTCTCAAACAATAATACTAAGATGCAAATTCGCTATTATTCCAAACTATCACATGTTGTAAAATGTCCATCAGCACTGTGATGTACAAACTTTGATGCATAAATTGCCATTTTAGTTATCATCCATCTTAAGTACCAATCAAGGAAAATGCCATGTTTTTTAAGAGATAATTTTTGGTCAGGGTCCTGAACAGAGCAGAAGTCTTTTGGTTAGGAAACAAGGAGGCAATCTTTTTCTTTGGAAGATACGCGGGTCAGCATTTTGATACCATCAAATTAGGAAATATGCAATTGGCCAGATGGCTGCCTCCTTAGAATTGGCTGAAAGGGCTTCTTCCAAGCAGAAGCATAACTCTGTATTTGCTCATAAGCAACATTCAAATGCCTAGATATTTTGAAGGCAATTTGACATCATATTTATTGTATACATTTTCTAAATAAGTTATCTGTAGGAAATATTTCCTTAATAGGCTTTAGCTAAATTCAATTGAATAGTGCCCAACACACGAAGTCAAAGTTCCAGACTGTCAACAAATAAAATTCATCACTTTTACTTGAATTTGTTATAAGTAGATGCATAATGCAGTGGGGGTTGTGCAACTGTTGTATTGATTTATTTAGAATGAATTCATGAAAAAATTAAAATGCCCATCTGCAATAGAATTGGACTTGTTAGAATTAACTGTAATTTCAAATAAAACAATATATTAGTTGTCTCACAAAAGTCATATAAGTTATAGCCCATCTAATATTATCTTTTCTTGTTATACTAGTTTTAATGTTAATTTATTTCTTACCAAAGTAGCTTTCAATAAATGGCATTTTAAGACAAATTCTCAAGTAAAAGTTGATACTTTTTAAGAATTCTAAAATTATTATCAATAACACTATGTGAAGCTGACTGACCAATAGTTGAATAAGAGTAATTATCTATTATCTTAAGATAAAATGATGCCATATGACTCCATCATATAAGGAGAATTAAAGAGGGTGGATCCAAAAATGTGTGGAAAAGTACTGTGAAGTAATTTTTAAAATATCATTTTTTTTTGTAACTAGCAGTGTTTGTGGTATTTTCAAACTTTCAGACTTTAATAGTTGTTATTTTTCTTTTTATTTGTTGGCAACAGCACCCAGGATCCTCAGGACTCAGTTCTGGCTCTGTGCTCAGGGATCACTTCTGGCAATGCTTTGGGGGGGGGGGAGGGGAAGGTGGATCATATCTATAGCAAGTGTCTTATCTGCTATACCATCTCTCCAGGTCCTGTTATTATTTCTTTTTTCCTTCTAAACAGATATTTCAAGTTTACAACTGATTTAGAATTTTCAACTTCTTAAAGAAAAATCTAAATTCTAGATTTATTAAGCTCTAAGATTCCTGTTCATCCCACATCAACAAGATTGAGGGAGATGTAAAACCGTGTTTAAGCAGAGGGGTGGTTTATATCCTGCTGTGTTCCAGATAACAAGGGAAAGTTTCAAACTGCAGTTGAAAGTGAATGAAAAGAAAATTTGTCTTCACAGAACACAAACAATATCAGAGGGTAGATAAATTTGTATATATTTCCTTCTTTGTTCTTTTCCCAAAGTGATTTAGATAGTAAGATCTTTGTGATGCTCCAGTATACCAAGGATATGGTCCCATTCCCTACGCTATACATCCCTACTTATCCTTAAAGTACATATCTGACCTCTCTAGAGGTAAAACAATTTTCCAAGGGCAACATTTCAGTTACTATTTATGGATATTTTCAAATTATAAATCCTTTCTAAACCACTTATTTAAACTTCAATTTATGCTCTACAAAAAGACTTAAACCCTACCTACCTTATTAACCCAATGGAAGAGAACCTCTGAATTAGAGGGCATGATATTTTCTGAACTTCCTCCTTCAAAACCAGTAATATAACAATTGGATGCTCTTGTGAGGTCAGAAAATTGATAAAATATCTATTTACTAGGGAGTAAAACAGTATTGATTGTTATGTTTCAGTAATATTTTAATTTTACTGAAAATGTGTTTTATTAGTTTTATTACCCAAAGAAAAACAATAAAGGTAAAGGTAAAAAGGTAAAGGCCCTCCCGTTGATCATCGATTTGCTCGAGCGGGCCCAGTAACGTCTCCATTGGAGACTTTGTTGTTACTGTGTCTGGCATATCGAATACTCTCGGTAGCTTGCCGGGCTCTCCGAGAGGATAAAAACAATGGGTTATGAAAAATCATTTACCCCAAAATATATAACAAAAATCAGAAGTTTTTGTAAATTTATAGTTAAATCCATGGGCTAAGGGTCTTTTTTAATATTTTCACATCAACTTAAGAATAAAAACCCTCAAATGATTTTAGTAAAATGTGATTAAAAAAAAAAAACCTTTACATCATCTCTTTTAACATGAGCTTTGTAAGCACGACCATAGAAAATTTAAGTAACATTTCACAATAATAAATATTTCATGCGTGCATCACTATGAATCAATGTACAATTTTAAGTTCACCAGTGAAAACTCAATTTTATTCTTCTCTATATAATTAACCCTATTATGCAATTTCAGACACTGCTGTTCCACCAGTCTAGACTGAAATCAGACTCCTTCCTCCTTATTTATTCACAGTAATTGTCTTTCCTCCTCCAACTCCATCTCCTCCAACTCATGAGCTCCAACCTAGCAAGGATATAAAACCACTCCCTCCCCTACGCAACCCTTCTTACCCTTCAAGAACATCTCTCACCTCCCTTTAATTTCTTCTCCCATAGTCCACCAGAATGCCTGTAGTAATTTTTAAATGCCATCATTATTAAATCACTTTTATTGTGACTTCAATATTTGTGCACTTTATTCAGGCATTTAAATTGGCTTCCAATTAAATTAAAACAGGGACATAGGATAGATTGAATTAGTATGAACTAAAACAGTAAAACAGAAATCCACTGATGGCACATCACATGTAAATCAAAAGAAGGAAAGTGGGAAATGAAAGAAAAAGAAAGAGAAAGGAGTACTCATTTCCGTGAAGAACTTTGGCTCGGAGTATTACAAGTCTTTTTACCCTGTCTTAATATTTGATAACCCTTTATAGTTCTGAAGATTTTGTTATTGACATCTGAATTAGCTTACATCCAGAGAGAACTGGTTTCATTTGTCAGTTCCTCTTTTAATCAATGGACTTATGGCATAGGAGTTGAAAACATACATGCAGCCCAAAGGGGGGGAAATATGGCTCTTTCTTTGTGAGATGAATTGAATAATATGCATGACACTCGATTTAGGATAACATTGGTTTCATAGCCTTGGGTAGTTTAGGTTTATTGGGTTGCTCCCATCGCAGTGTTCCCATTCCTCTGTGTTTATTTGTAACTTCTTTCTTTGTGTTCTGTTGACTTGTAAATATTGTTTTTTTCTTCTCCCTAAGTCCTTTGCATAATTTATTCAGAACAATGTCCTTTTTGTATGGACACAAGAAGACAATATATGCTATGCTTTTGTAACATGATTCTCAGTGATATGTTCCTCCTGGGCATCTGTTCTCTCCACCTAAGCCTCAGCTGCCCTTACTTCCTTGTGCCCCAAAAGCAGGGTCCTGATGAGGGACTGTATGGAACCAGGGCAAGCAGTAAGCTATGTGCTACCCTGGCATGATGGGCCTGGCCAAAGTGCCATAATGCTTAACTATAGGTTAAGAGCTAGGTCAGGGACAAATGCTGTCATGATCCAAAAAGTAATAACTAGACTCTACCCTGCTAGGGTTACGAATGATTAATCTGGCCTGAGCTCTGTAGTCTGAGTTTATGGCAAGATGTTCCCAGGAGAGCTGTCCTACAAGCCTAAGTGTGTCTCTTACTGTGTCCGTACAAAAATAACTAGTATTTAAAGATGTTGATAGAGTTATTGGACTGAGGAAAGGAGAAAAACACCTTTGGAGGTATTTTGCCCTTAGGCAATCAGGAAGGGCTTTGGAATACCCCAGGTGGTGTTTCCTCCCCAGAGCCTGATGGCAGTCAGGAAGGGCTTTCTTATGTTGATTTGGCTACCAGACTGGGTGCAGTGGGCCCTGAGCACTGGGGAGTTGGAGTGACAAGAAAGCTGGAGAGAGAAGAGAGTTGGAGAGATGAGAGAGAAGAGAGAGTTGGAGAGACGAGAGAGAGAGCTCAAGGCAGCAAGATGGAGTGTGGAGAGACAAGCAAGGGGGACAGAGAGAGAATAATACAGGAGCAGGCTCATGGAGAGAGAGAACCCAGGCTGCAAGATGGAGCACAGAGAGATGAGCGGGAGAGATGGAAGGAGACGGGAATTAGGAGCAGTGTGAGACTAGAATGGGAGGCTCAGAGAGATTGGGGCAGGCGCGTGGGGAGAATGGAATAAACGGCATCTGATCAATCAAATGGCTTGGCCCTCGTTTTGTCCACCATCTGCCCCATGACCTGTGCTGCCCTGGCTGAGCGAGCGGCCTGGGGCCCCCAAACCCAGGCGGCTAGGGTTAGAGCTGTCGGGTCCTCCCCCTGGCCACCCCTGGAGATATTATACAGCACTCAAAAGGTATCAGCCCCAAACTTATTCCTGTTTTTTTTTTAAAAAGGACAGACAATTTCCCTTAACTGTGCCTTCTTCCCCAGGTCTGCTTTGTGAATTTGGATGTGGACAAGGATGCATGCAGCACAGAGCACCTACAGCAGGTAAAGCTTGGGATTGGAGCCTGCAGGGAGCTCCAGATAGGGGCTGGCTGTCCTGAGGATGAAAACAATTGTCCAGCTGAAAAGGATGTTTACTCTGTAAAGATTCTTTTAGGTTTGACCCCAGACTAGCTTTCTGGAGCTTGTCTGACACCTTCACGCATAATTCACACATAATTCATCCTTTTCTCTGTAAAACTTGTTTCCCAAAGCAGACAGAGCCCTCTCCAAGCTGCCACTTTTGCCTGCTCTTGGGTGTCTTGAAGAGATTCTTCTGCTCTTTCTTTTTCCACTCCCAAGTGTTCAGTTGGAGAGAACTTTTCCAAGGACTTTGTGAAAGCTGCTTGGTATCAGCTGGCCTTTGCCTCTGGCTTTCACATTTGCTCCTTCCATAAATTGTGTCTCAACAAAAATTTCAAGCTTCTGCAAGGGTTATAAGGGTTCTGATTTAAGTCTTCACACACAAGTACTATAAGACCCACTCAGTGCCCTGAAACCAGAACTTGTGTGTACAATAGGATGAATTAATTGGTGTCACATGATTCTTATTCATGGGCATAGGCAAAGAAAGTTGACCATCATTATTTGATTCTCACTATTCAGCGTGATGATGTTTCTGTGTAACAGAACATCATTTGCAGCAATTACTGCAATACACACACAAACATATATGTATATGTATATAATATATATATATAAACAATTTGCCTGAAAATTCTCAAACTGAATTTCGCAAGCAATATATTTAAATTCCTATTGGACTCCGGATGTCATTTATCTAAACAACAACTTGTAATTATTATTTCATTGGAAAGAATTATGATGCAGAATCCTTCACAGAGTAAATAGCACAAACCAAAGCAATTTGACATCTTACGAACTGTGGGTGTGAAGAATGTACATGATTGATTGATTTAAGATCTCTTTTGCTGTTTATAAGAGCAGAAACTTTGGCATTAATTTAGCTCGGGCAAGGCACTGATCATTTCTGGTTCTAGGCTACTTATAAGTGAAAAAAAAAATAAAAAGAACCATAGTAGTAACCAAACCATATAGGGTCTTATGGGAATTAAGTATTGTGAGATGTAGTAACATAACACAACCTTTGGTACTGTGCCTGATATAATATAAAAATTCAATGTTAGCATTTTATTGCTGCTACTACTGTTTGACAATAATAGAATAGATGACTTAAAAATATTGACTGATGTTCTGTGATTTGGAATACAGTTAGTGATTATTCCCCATGTACATTATTCCACACCACATCCATCACAAGATTTTCCACCTCCTTTATCCAACACCTCTCTCTTCTTGCCCCTCACCCCACAAACCCAGTTGCATGGATCAGTTCTCCCATTGTGTTCCTTTGGCCTTTTGTTGCTATCTTACTCTGTACCTTTAAGTCCTAAATACAAGAGAGATAATTCCCTATCTGTCCCTTCCCTTCTGACTGATTTCACTCTGTAGGATATCTTCTAGTCCCATCCATGTGCCAAAAAATCGTGTAGTTTTATTCTTTTTTAGAGATAAATAGTATTCTACTGTTAGAATACATGATTATTAATCAGATCTATTATTTAAGGTCTTGGGATAAAATGGCCCTAAACTACTTTATATCTATCGTATGATTGTCACTGTTAGTTACTTTGTAAAATCCAGAACTAGAGACTATTGTCTAAATCTCCAGGTATAATGACTTTTCCATTTGAATAGTTATATTTAAGCTAATTAAGTTTATGTCATTTATGTTTATGCTGATTATTTCCATTGTCAAGTCTTCTAGTAATACTCTTAAATTAAGTAACATAGTGTAAGTAGTTATATGGTTATGTTGCTTTGAAAATAAAATTATTTGGGGATAGAATTTTGGAAGTGGGTCAAGATCATTAAAGAATAAGGATTCTTGCTTTACAGAAATTGGTCAATGTTTCACCAGAACTTCCAAAACTTATTAACTCCATGAATGTTCAACAGCCAAAAGAAAATGAAATTGTCCTCTTAAGTGGGTTAACCTCTGGAAATCTCCAGGCTGATTTTGAAGTTTCACAGGTAAGAAATGCAAGCATTAGTACAAGTCATCCATGGTCAATTTTCAGTACACATCAGTATAAACTCCAACTGGGTTCTATACGTATACTTGTATAACGTAAGAGTCAAAGCTGACTTTGTACTTAAAAATTTTTTTCATTGGTTTTGTCTTAAATTTTGCCACACAGAATCTGATAAACATCCTTCCATGGATGTCTTATGTTTATTGACATCTCAAGTTCATGGAGCTAAATGAACATAAAGTAGAGCAAACACACTTTATGCCTTGATTAGTTATTTTATTTTACATAAATTTACTAGATAGTCAAGATAGGAATTTCCTTCTAGTTCACAAAAATAGATCAAAACTGTATTTTATATATGTGGACACAGAATCTTCTGCTTTCTTCTTTGGGGGCTATAACTTATCTCTTAGTATATTCCAAATCAGCTACTCTAATAAGCAGTAGTATTCCCAAGAATAGAAAGGTAATTTTGTGGTACCAAAGGATAACATTTCCAGAAAAAACAAAAAGAATTTTCAAAAAAGGAAGCAGGAATTAAAATTACCTTATTGCATGATTCAATACATTGAAGTCCATTGTCTAGATAAATCACCATAACACTTTGAATAAAAATAAACAATTTTAATAGCTTTATGCATAGAATATATAAAAAATCTGTGAAGTTACCATGTATAGAAGATTTTCTCAGATTAAAAGGTTAAGAGGGAGATAATATAAGCCACAAAATTAAACATGGGCATTTGTTTTCCTCCAACTTGTTTTCCCTCGGGTTTTAGTTCTTCCAGAAATTTAAAAAATCTTTTATTCTCTAGTACCTCACACTGACAAAACAGAAACTGACCAACAAGTTTTCATAAAAATCGACATACACATGATTACACTTTACTAATCAAAACTAAATCAAAATTTCTCCTGATATTTCTGATAACATGTTTCCTTAGTGGGAAAAGTAATTACCTGAAATGAAAACTCAAAAGTAGCTCCAGATGCCCTCTTCATCCTATGTGCAGTCCTGGTGACCAAAATCAAAATTCAAACCTGAATTGCAAAATTATATTGGGCAAGACAAATGCTCATTGAGAGCAGAGTAAACTTGCCCAGAGAGTCATTAAGATCCTCCATCAAAAATGCCTCTCTTGCAAAACACAGGACCCAAAAGAAGAGAGAGAGAACAAGGGGGAATGCCCTGCCACAGAGGCAGGGTGGGATGGGGGGGATGGGGGGTGGGAGGGATGCTGGGACCCATGGTGGTGGAGGATGGGCGCTGGTGGAGGGATGGGTACTTGATCATTGTATAACTGAAACCCAAGTACAAAAATTTGTAAGTCTAAAACTGTACCTCATGGTGTTTCAGTAATAAAATTTTTTTTAAAAAAAATAATAAAATAAAAGGGTAAAAGGTAAAAAGGTAAAGGCCCTCCCGTTGATCGTCGATTTGCTCGAGCGGGCCCAGTAACATCTCCATTGGAGACTTTGTTGTTACTGTGTTTGGCATATCGAATATGTCACGGGGAGCTTGCCAGGCCCTGCCGTGCGGGTGAGATACCCTCGGTAGCTTGCCGGGCTCTCTGAGAGGGGCAGAGGAATCGAACTCAGGTCGGCCATGTTGGCTGCTTGTAAGGTGAACGCCCTACCACTGTGCTATCGTGCCAACCCATGCAGACAATAAAATAAAAAAAATAAATAAAAATACCCCTTCTCCTTTCTGAAGAGTCTTATTGTCTGAGAGTGAGCAGTTTTCCCATTGTTAACTTGTATCTTTGTCTTCTTACCTCAATCGAGGACTACACAGAAATTTTTTATTACTTTATTATTTTACAATTAAACAATGCATTTTAAAGAATAAAAAATGTATAATGCCCTCCTTTATTCATGTATCAATTGATCCAACAATTATTTATTATTCACCTATTTAAATATGAGCACTCACCTAGGTGCTGATGATATGATGGTGAATCAAATTTTTTACTTTCATAAAATGACTTGTTGACAGTCTGATATTTAATTCAGAAGTTAATTCTAATACTGACAGTCTGATACAGGTAGTCTTATAATTAATTCAGAAGTCATCTCCTGTAAATGTTTTTAAACATGCACAACCATCTATGTATTGGACTTCAAATGAGGAATGACTTCAGGTACAGTGAGCAAGTGACGATATAGCTGAAATTTATTGTTTCTTTCTTCAAGCCTTCTTTGTCGAATCTTAGAACAATTCTAAAGAGTCTCAGTAATCCATTAATTATGAGGCCTGTGGTCATGTAAAATAGTAAGTAGAGAATATAATTGAACTAAAATATTATCCTAGAGAGGAACTTTTTTTTTGAGATGATTATTTTGCACAATAATGAAACATACTCTTGAGTGAGCACTCTCTGTGGAGTTTAAAGGAACAGCCAACCTTTCTGTACTTCTGGTTTCTCATCTCTCAGAGAGAAAGAGCTCTACCAGGCTGAGGGAAACACTTGAAGGCATTGAATATAATAAGATATATGAAAAGTACATTATCAGGGGCCATGGACAGAATGGCAGGGTATGTACTTGCTTTCATTTGGCTGATTCAGGTTTAATCCTTGGCTCTGTATATGATTCCCTCAAGTCTAACCAGGAATGATCTCTGAACACAGACATGGGACTAAGCCCTGAGCACTGATGGATGTGCCTACCACAAAAAAGTACCTTGTAGATTACCATAAAAATCTAAAATCATATAACATATACTATTACTTTATAGACAGTGTTGTTGGGGTTTGCTTACTTCCAAAAAGATTAAGAAAATGTATTTTCTTTTTTACAAATACCATGGCTGTGTAATGCTGAATACATGATAAAAACCCTCTTGAACCTGCCTTGATATATCGCGTATTTATTAATATTGATTTGTTTACTCTTATTTGATTTCTACTACTATATATGTATATATACATGTATGTGAATTAAATCAGAATGAAATTAAAAGAAATGAGTCATATGCAAATGTTTTGACCTAAAGCATGACAATCTCTCATGGCTTAACTTTATAATCATTTTTATTCATGTATGCTCTATTAATAATTATTCTATCCCAATCCTCCAGGACAATTACCTGATAATCTTTGGCCATTCATACCCAACTATCTTGCATTTAACAGGTATTCAAAAAAATCTGATAAATTTCAGATTAGAATGTTATGTCTAAATTCAGTAGCAAGGAATTTAATTCAGCCACTGGTCCCTTAAAGCAGTCATTTCTCATCATTTGGGAGATAACAGACCTTCAAAAATTTTATAAAGTTATCTATATTAGTATTATCAAATGTCAATGCATATAAAATTTATCAAAATATCTATTTTAAATGGAGATTCTTATCTATTCCCTGTTGTTGGGGCTTGAAATTCAACACTTTTTTTCTTTTTGGGGTCACACCCGGTGATACACAGGGGTTATTCCTGGCTTTGCACTCAGGAATTACTCCTGGTGGTACTAAAGGAACCATATGGGATGCTGGGAATCAAACCCTGGTCGATCACGTGCAAAGGCAAACGCCCTACCTGCTTTATATGGCTCCAGCCCCTTGATCTTCAACATTTGTAACAAGTTCTAATGTGACATTGAGATTGCTAGTCTGTTACCCACACTTTGAAAAACAGTTATTAAAGGTTACTTGCCTGTAAAAACAGACCTAAGCATATAGAATCATTCTCGTTCTAAGTCTTAATAGGTTTCCTGAATCTCTTAGAGAATGAATTTTCCAATTACAATCATCTTTCTTAGAATTATTCTAATTGGAATAGCCTAAAAGAATATATATTATAGAATACAGGATGAATGTTTTCATTCATACTTCTTTGCATTCACACATTATAAGCCTAGCACTCACAATTATTCACACTCAAAGAAATCTCAGAAGGCAAGTTAAATAGTATTAGAGTACACTAACTCCAACCATGAATAAGCATACGGTTTTAAATAACCCATTTTATGAACATTTCAACTTAGAATATTTTCCCAAACGTTTCAAGCTCTACTTTGAGATTTATCTGTACCATTCAAAGAATTTTCTCTTAAAAATTACTATAAATAAAAAAGTCTTCTCATAAAAATAAAATCCTACATGTACAAAACATGTTGGTGAATTCAAACAATCTCCCTAGGTTCCCATTTATTGCTATCGGAAGCAGCAACAATATGACAAAATGTATAGTAGAGTCTGGGATTTTCTTCTTGACCCTAGAAAGGAACACAATCTAATCATCTTACTGTATACTATTCAATGATGTGAATCTCATTATCATTGACCCCCACGACCCTCCACATGCAAGTCTTTTAGAGATAGTTTATTTCTACTGATATTTTCATATCTTTTAGACCTCCTTTTCAGGTGAGCAATATAATCTAACTATAGTGGAAGAATCACTTGCAACACATTTGTCAATTACTGGCAGAGATTTTACTGACATTACCAAAGCAGGATAAGATATTGATCTGAAAAACTATTCAGTTTAATCAAGAAGAGTGTCCCAAATAACCTTAACATAGTTTTCAGATTGAGGAATATTTATCCAGATTTCTTTCTGATACAAACCTTGACCTATTTTTGCCTTAGCACATTTATTTTAGAAAATTTATCATTGCAAATTTCTTCTGTGTCCCATTAAGATGTAAATCTTTTTGAAAATATCCTTTCCAGTCTCACAACCCAGGAATGAACATCCAAAGTGGCAAAAATCAATAGATGAAGGGAGAAGGAATTACTTGTGACCTATGTATGGACATTTATTTATAAATCAATAAATAAATAATATATAATAGCACTGTAGCACTGTCCTCCCATTGTTCATTAATTTGCTCGAGCAGGCCCAGTAACATTTTCATTGTGAGACTTATTGATACTGTGTTTTACATATCGAATACATCATGGGTAGCTTGCCAGGCTTTGCCGTGTGGACGAGATACTCTCAGTAACTTCCCAGGCTCTCCCAGAGGGGTAGAGAAATCGAACTCCGGTCGGCCAGGTGGGCTGCATGCAAGGCAAATGCCCTACCTGCTGTGCTATCGCTCCAGCCCAATAAATCAAGATATTTTACTATTTGTTACAGAAAGAAATATTGTTGAATGTTATTTATATGTGGAATCAAAAGTAAAACCAAACTCATAAAAAGAGATCATATCCATGGTTACAGAGGTGGTAGACTGAGGAAAAGAGGGGTATTTCAGAGAGGTATATCAGAGAAAATGAAAGAAAGTGGTGAAACGTTACAAACTGCCAGTTAGAAAATAATTTAGAAGAGCTAGGACCATAATCTTCAGTAAGACGATAATAAGAAATGCTGCCTCATGATATATGTAAAAACTGGTTAGAATAGATTCTGGGGGGTTTTACCACAAGGAGAATTTATTTTTCTCTTTTGGTCTCTGTCCTTTGTATTATATCTGCATGGGATGATAGATAGTAACTAGCCTTGTTGAGGTGACCATTGTCCAGTATATCTTAAATTCATATAATGATGCATATTGATTATTTCTTAAGAAAAGTGGAGAAAAATTATAAAGGGTGAACCATCTCTTTGAAATGTAATGGTGAAGAATAATATAGTACCTATCTTTGGAAGAGTGCGAACATTAATGGCTGTTTTGCTCCTGCTTACAAAATTACCTCCTATTCTGTATATAAAAGAAAGTTTACTTTTCCTGGAGTGATAACACAGTGGGTAGGGCATTTGTCTTGCACGAGGCTGACCTGGGTTCGATTCCTCTGCCCCTCTTGGAGATCCCAGTAAGCTACAAAGAGCATCCTGCCCACATGGCAGAGCCTGGAAAGCTCCCCATGGCATATTTGATATATCAAAAACAGTAACAACAAGCCTCACAATGGAGACGTTACTGGTGCCCGCTTGAGCAAATCGATAAACAATGGGAGAACAGTGCTACAGTGCTACTTTTTCTTTAGGAAAAGCTGATGAACAAATACAGATGATCTACATCCAGTTATTAAAAACCCTCTGGCCTTTTGCTCGATGCTGTTTCCTTGTTTTAATAGTCTTGGTGAAGTCTTTGCCTGTTTAACTTTTCTATGTGCAATTTTTACATGGACCAGAAATAACAAAAACCTGAGATAAAACTCATCTATTTCCCCTTGAGATGAACTCTCTTTGAGCCATCCTGTGTTCCAAATCATCTCTTGAAACTTTTTTCAAGTAGTTCAGCATCATCTCAGAAGATATTCCAAATAGTTGGAAGGTTTCCACTTAGTGGGAGAAGCAAGCGTTTCTCTCTCTCTCTCTCTCTCTCTCTCTCTCTCTCTCTCTCTCTCTCAGTAAATGTTTTCTTCATCTCTTTATTCTCTCTCCATTAGTGTCCTTGGCTGCCAGATATCTGCTTGGTCCAGTGTGCAAGAGGGAACAGAGCAAACAGTACCAATTGCATCATCTTCGAAATCAACAAATTTTTGATCGGTTTGGAACTGGTACAGGAGCGACAGCTCCACCTGGAAACCAAAGTCTTGAAAGTGGAGGACGACACAAACTGTTCCTTGTCTTCAATCGAGGAAGACTTTCTCACTGCCTCTGAGTACTTGGAGGGGGAAAGCGAGGTGGAAGAATACAGGAATGGTGAGAACCTCCCAACAAAATGAGTGTGTACCCTGGAATTAGTCACTTTATAAAAATACCTGGATGAGGTTTCAGAAAAGTTTCAGGCAATGTCAATTTGGCAGACATTTTACAGTTTCTACTTGCTGAGTTTAAGGAGCTTTTTAAAAAGCTAAGAAAATACTCAGGAAGATGATGACTAATGCACTTAACATATTCCATGGTTAGATGGCTCCAGATTCCCTAAAGATGCCTCAGGGACACTAAAGGAAATGTAAATGTGTATATGTGCTTTAAAATGGAAATCTCCCTGCCTGCCAAGCAATGGAGATCAACTGGAGGAAGAGAATTACCTTCTTTAAGACCCCCAAGGAATCCACGCAAGAACTTAAATTTGCCTAAATCCTAATTCAGCTTTCAGAGCAGTGGCTACCTAATCATTCTGAGTCTGTTTCCTTCTCTATTACTTTAAATTATAATTGGACTATATCATTTCTTGTATTTCACTATATAGTTATTGTAGCTAATAATGGTCCTTGTGAGGATAGAAGGAAAACCACACAGATAGTAAATTACCCTCTTCACCTACTCTTTTGATGGACTCAGTAATAGAGCTCAGTGACAAATGGTGACTGAGTCAGGTGTGTATCCACAAGCATGATTGTCATCGTCCATAGGGTAAGTTCTTTGCAAATTTGTAGAGCATTATTGCAATAAGCACTAGAAAGGTTTTTGCAAAGATCCCCCCCCCACTTCTGTACCCACTGGTAAACTCAAAGAAACGTTTGAGTTACTTTCAGATGATGACTGGTGACTGGCCCTCAGCCCCCAAATCCCTTCTCCCCACGCAGGGTTTGCATTTGGCTCCTATGGTAGGAGTTTTTGTGTTCAGTGCCATTCCATAATGAAACTCAAAAGTCTATTCTGATTTCATTTCCCTTGAAGACACATTCAAACTCAAAATTTTAAGAGAGACCTGGCAAAGAAAGTCACATGAGTTTAGAATTGTGTGACTCTACTACCCCCAAAGTAACACAAGTCCTTCCTTTCTCTACCCTAGGTTATGAAAACATAAACATCTCTACCAATGCTTTGGAAAGTAAAAAGCGGAAGGAACCTCCCCAAGAGGAATGGGACTACAGCAAGGAAAAGTTGCCTTATGCTTTGGAAGACAAATACATGAGAAAATATCACAAACCCATGATTATAAAAGAAGGATCTTTGGACAAAAGACCAGGAGAGAGAGGCCTGCAGAGGTTGGATCTCTCAGCCAGGTCAACAGAGGGAAAAGAGGAAAGTGCAGAGAAGGAGAAACTTCTCACAAAGTCTCATTTTTCTGAAAATTTAATAGGTCCAGTGAAAAAATCGCAGACACAATCTACTCCAGGGGATGCTTCTTTCTCCAGAATGGTTAAGAAAGATGAACCTTCTGCATGGGGGTCTGTGTCTGTGTGTGGAAACAGCTCAGGCCCTGGAACCTGTGAAGAGGGAAACCAAGTTCTTCTTCCTGAACAAGATGGAAAAGCCACAACTGGCGAGTATGCTACAAATTTAGCGGAATCTGTACTGCAAGACGCATTTATTAGATTATCACAGTCTCAACCCACAGGACTCCAGGAATCTGCCCTGAGTGTAGGAAATGCCCTGCTACCCAGCAGCTGTTCTACAAAAGACATCATGATCCCTCGCTCTTGGAATGAACTGCCCAAAATCGTCATTGTTCAGAGTCCAGATGGCAGCGACACTGCCCCTGAGGTGGGAAGCTCCTCGTGGTCCGAAATGGAAGTCTCTATGGAGACGACAGGTGTCCTTTCTGGAGACAACCCCAGCCGACCCCCTCAGAGTGCTCTTGAAGTAGCATTAGCTTGTGCCGCCACTGTGATCGGAACCATCTCCAGCCCACAGGCCACTGAAAGACTCAAAATGGAGCAAGAATCCCTGGTTATAGACGACCCACAGAGTGATGTTGAACTGCTGCCGACTCAGCCTTCACACGTGTTCCAGGAACCTTCTGTCAGCGAATACTCATTTCCATCTGCTTTGTGTGGAATGACCCAGGTGGCGAGTGCTGTCGCCGTTTGTGGCCTGGGGGAGACAGGAGAGGGTCAGTGTCCCATGGCCTCCACTGACCACCTTGCTGCTCCGCCATCTGCAGTGATCCCCTCACTGTGTAGTCTGGCTACAGAACAGAGCACAGAGCTGGGGAATGCAGAGGCCATTGCAGAGGCCTTGTTCAAGGAGGCCACTCGGGTTTTAACAAAGCCTCAGGCATATAGCAACATCGGGGACCTCATGGAATCAGTGGCCAAGAGAATTACCGAGACCCCTTCAAAGCCTCAGCCCCTGCACTCAGATAGTGACTTTGGTAGGGAACTGGCACAGAGCCTGTCCAATGTTATCCTGAAGCACTCCATTGAGGAAGTTCACCAGAAAAGTAGGATGACGGAGGCCAAGGATTCATCTGAGGCTCTAGACACCCTCCAGGAAGTGACAAACCAACTCCTCTTCAATGTGGTATGCTTCACGTTCAAGAAGATGAGCAACATCATGCAGAGTGGTACCTGCCCCACTGTTCTTTGCAAGGAGATCATCGGTTGGAAAGAAACAGAACCAAGTTGCCAGCCCATTTCTCAAGGTGCTAGTCGGGTAGGGGCAAACGTCATGGAATACTCTAGTGCCCATCCAGTTAGCATTCTGCAGAGCCCTGATCTTGCTCTCGATGGTCCCGTGGATGACATGCATCCCAGACAAGACACTAGGGGTCAAGTGAAGCCAGGCCACTTTAAGAACCCCAAATTGCAACCAGATTTGTCAGGTAGTAACAGAGCGTCAGATTCTTCGACTGCTAAGACAGCCCACCAGGAACCATATCTGAAAGGCATGGGAAGGAGGGATTCAAGAACCCATCCTCTGCCGCCCAATCCCCATGGGAATGAAGTCGGAGCCCCGGCAGAGGGCGAGGGGTCACCCACACCTATGGTCAAAGGCGGTGTCAGTCAAGCAGCTCAAGAAAAGCGCAACTGTGGTTCCCCGCTCCATCACGACATTCAAGTCAACTTGCCTCTGTTAGGGAGTGACTTGCGCCTTCCTGCCCCGGTCGCCCTGGCGACGAAGCACACGGACCTCTACTGCATTGCCGACTTTGCAGAAGAGTTAGCAGAGACCATCGTCTCTATGGCAACCGAGATTGCAGCCATCTGCCTGGACAACTCCAACGGCAAGCAACCCTGGTTTTGCGCCTGGAGAAGACGGAACGAGAGTCTGGGGAGTTCCAGTGTCTCCTGCCGGTCGCTGAAGAGGAAGAAGGAAAGCCAGGCAGGCGGTGGGGCCACGGTGAGGAAGCACAAGCCCCCACGCCTGAGCGAGATTAAGAGGAAGACGGATGAGCACCCGGAGCTCAAAGAGAAGCTGATGAACCGGGTGGTGGACGAGTCCGTGAACCTCGAGGACGTCCCGGACTCCGTGAATATCTTTGCCAGCGAAGTGGCAGCCAAGATCATGACTCTCCCAGAGTTCTCCCCGGTGGAGGGGGTCTGGCCAGGCCAGGGCCACCCTCGCCCGCGCTTGCTCAGTGGGGACCGCTGGAGCCGTCTCAAGGCGTCCAGCTGCGAGAGCATCCCCGAGGAGGACCCGCGGGTGCGGACGCCCCTCGGCAGCCCGGGCTTCATGAGCACCCTCAGTCAGCCCGTGAGCAGGGCCAGCTCCATGTCCAAGCAATCGAGCTGTGAGAGCATCAGTGAGGAGTTCTCACGCTTCATGGTGAACCAGATGGAGAGCGAGGGCCGGGGCTTCGAGCTGCTGCTGGACTATTATGCGGGCAAGAATGCCAGCAGCATCGTGCAGGCTGCCGTGCAGCAGGCCTGCCGCCGCACTGAGCACCTAAGCGTGCGACCCGGCTGCGCGTCCAAGCAGTCAAGCACCGAGAGCATCACGGAGGAGTTTTACCGCTACATGCTGCGAGACCTGGACCGCGATGCTAAGGACGCCAACGCCTCCTCCCGCAGGACCAGCCGCGACTGGACGGCCAGCCTGCTGGCCCCCACTCTGCGATCGCCGCTGGGTTACAGGCAGTCATCGGTGCCCGACAGCCGGACCCTGGACCCCAGGCTGACGGCCAACGCGCCCATCAAAGCCAATTCCCTGGACGGCTTTGCGCCCAACGGCCAGCAGGATTTCCTTTGCGTGCAACCCGTCAGCGGCTCTTCCTCGGACTCGTGCCTGTACCGGAGAGGAGGCGCGGACCAGATCACCACTATGCTCATCCACGAGACGTGGGCCAACTCCATCGAGGCTCTCATGCGCAAGAACAAGATTATCGTGGATGAGGCAGAGGGAGCTGCGGACGCTGATCCAGGCTCCCCTGGGCAGGGGGCATCAGGGGCTCCTAGATTGCCTTCGGCCTTAGTGCGCAGAGGGCCAACGCTTCTTGTGCAGGAGACCCGGGATCCCCCGAGGAAAGACTCTCTTACTGGAAGCCCCCATCCTCCCCTGACCTCTACCGGCAATGTCCCGGGCCCTGCCGACCCCAAGGATTCCAGAAAGGAACCTGTATCCTGCCACCAGGCGGTCCCCCGGGGTCAGCCCCGGCGATCACTTTGTTCCATGGAAGTGCCCCTGATCCAGATTGAACCCCACCAGAAGGAAGAGTGTGTTGGAGAGCCCGAACCCCTCCTACCGCCCAAAGACAGCCCACCGGAGAAAGCTGAACAATCCAATGAACAGCTAGGCGCTGCCTGGCCAGCCGCCAGGTGAGTGAGTGACTCAAGAACCGTCTTTGCGTTTTGAGTGTTTATTCTGAATGCCAGGGGCTTAGGCAAAAATGCAGTTCCTGGAACAATAAAAACATCATCTCCCTGTGGCACTAGTCACTGAAAATTGGAAGTCAGATTTTCAATTCTAAACTAAATGGATTGATTTAACAGAGGAAGTATAATTGCACTTCTCAGGACTGGGGAGATAGTTTACGAATTAAAATACCTGGCATAAGGCAGACCCTGGTTTAGTAATACAGGGGCTCTTGGCCACAGCAAGCATCAGGCTTAAACACTCAAGAACTAGTTCTGCTTCTGAAACATAAGGACCAGCATTGAATATGTTTTCCGTTGTAGAGAATACAGAGTTGTTCTCAGCAACTTTTCAAACTCGAGTTCTCCTTTGAATATGTATCCCTCTTTTTCTCTCCCCTTATGCCTTTCTAAGTAAATTTATTTCATTTTTTATAACTGTTTTTTGGGTTGGAGCAATAATACAGCTGGTAGGGTGCTTGCTCTGTGTGCTGCTGAGTGGCTGACCCAGGTTCCATCCCCAGCATCTCATGTAATTCCCCAAGCACTGCCAGGAATGAACCCTGAATGCAGAGCCAGGAGTAATCCTTGAGTATCCCTGGACGTGCCCAACCTCCCCCAAAGGGAGGGGGGAATCTACAAAAACTGTCTTGGCTTCACTAAAAAAAGAAGTTATGGTAGACTATGAGTTCCATTAACATTAAGTCATGACATGCTATGAAAGTTTCCTAGATTCATAATTGTTTCCTAAGTATCTTGAATATTTTAGATTTAAACACAGAAATACATATATATATATAGTTATTAACTCAGTACTCACCCCATTAAAGGGGCTCAGTACATGTTTGCTTTGAGGTTCAAGGATATGGTCATTCCTGGACTGGGGAGATAGTTTAGATTACAGAAGAAACTTTTTCTCCAAGAAAATCCTGTTATAATAGTGTAGAGAACTGAATTAAACAAGAGAATTCCAGGATTTGCCAGAGGGATATTAGTCACATTGATATCACATTGTCTAAGCTCAGAGTTGCTATTAGGCTTGTGATATGTCCAACTCACTAAGTAACTATATATAGAACTCAACTCCCAGTGAAAGGATGCCTACCCATTACACTTAAGAGTAGGAGAGATGACTTTGGCACTCTTAATTCTGTGCAGAGGTGAGAACGGGTCATGCCATAAAGATATTTTTAGTCTACAGCCTGAATGCATCTTCATAATTTATGAAAACCTACATTAGAAAATCAACATACCAAATAGTATTTTAATATTTCTTTTTCCCAAACTTTTCTTCCTTCTTTTCCTACTTCTTAGATTTACATTATTGATCAAAGAATAACAATTCCATGACTCATAATACAAGTCTTACCCAAAGAGAAATATCTGTTGTATTTTAGGCCACAACCTCTGTCTAGGCACCTGACCTATCCCTTAGTAAAGAACTAAGGTATATAATAAAGAACTTAAATAATTTAAATAAATAACTTAAATAATTTAAATTAGTCTTGTTCTTGTTTTTCAAGATAATATTAGCTGATTGGTGGATTTCTTTTTGATAACAGTACAAAGAAGGTGAGCCTAAGAAAAATCTTCATTGGAGGACTCAGAGATCAGAGGGCTCTAAGCATTAAACAAATGCCAGAAGTTTGCAGATAATTCCCTCAAAGCTTTTGCTGCAGTTTTGAGTTGCTGAGTCTTGCCTGTTTAGGTCAGAACCCATGATGTTAAAGCCCTGTTCACTGCACAATGCTACAAATACACAACTTGGGAGACGTCCTCAACTAGCAAAGTTGAGAATCTATTATTCAACATCAGACCTCACCTAGAATGATTCCAACACTTTTTCTAAAGAGATCATCCCATTCAGCACTCAACAAAATTTCAGTGTGTGTGTGTGTGTGTGTGTGTGTGTGTCTATGCCAGAAAAACCAATGAAAAGCCAAGCCTACAACTGTAAATGATTCACTCTGTGTTAGCAGCAGAATTTCTTAGAAACACTATATGTCAATATAGGGGTTATTCAGTAATCTTTTAGCTTGCAAGTAGTGTAACGTGAAAAATCTTCCTATTTTGCCATTCAGGTAGCACTATCAAAATTGTGAGTGCAGGTCTCACTATTAAACTCGATGCTTCTAATATCAAAATATTTATTTTAAAATATGATCACGTGACCATATCTCTGCCACAATACACAAAAATTCTTAAAGATATATGATTTATGCATAGACAACTACATACATTAGAAAGAAATGTAGGAATCACTAAGCAGTAACAAAAAGAAAAAGACAATGGCTAAACTGCTTTGACAACTCAAGAGGAAAAGATGGACTTAGGGAGTTAGCTAGCATTGTTGCTGAACATTGAGGAATGGTAAGAGATAAAGATGAGGAAAGGGTCTTCTTATATTTTAATGAGTGAGGGTTAATGAGCTAAGTCATTTATGGATAACATTGTAGTTTGTCTTCTTTGGATACTTGTATCCAAGTCATTGGGTTTCATCCATTAAATTGACTTATTTTTCTAATTTATTTGTTCTAAACACCTTGTGGAAAGAATATTGACATTTTCCCTAGAAAGCTTTGTTAACTTTTGCAAGATAAACAGGTACAGGTGGTAGAACTGGAATCTGTAGAATTTAGAGTACGAACAGCAGTGCTCAAAGCTCTTATTTTTAAGATTGAACCAGAGGAAATAGTGAGTCCAAAGCTAAGCAGGAAGCCCCTGGTATGTTTGAGAATAATGACTTGGCTATACATAGGTAATGTTGGGTGGACCACAAAGTACTGAGTTTGCTTTGGATTTATGAAGACTTTTAAACAAAATGTGCTAATGAAGTACCTTGATAATATGAATCTGGAAACAATGTGAAGTAGGCTTTGAATGAGTGTGAATACATAGGGTTTCTATGAAGGAGACCAGTGAATTATAAGCTAGACAAAGAGCAATGGAACTGCCCCATATCTCTAAACCTGAGATCAAATAGTAATTACCAATTCTGCTCTAACCTTATGAGTTATTTACTCTCACTAGGATTCTATATCTAAATGTATGAGGAATGTGTGGTGTTTCTCCGAAATCTAAAGCTGTAGCAATTTAGCCAAGACCTAAATTAAGATAATTTAATGAGCTTAGAGACTTGAGTGATGAAATTGAAAGGACATGTCAACTGATTGAAGCTCAAGAGCAATGAGGGTATCCTGAAAAATGTGTAGGTCTTCTCAGTAAGGTCAGTGGCTTCAGGGACAGTCTGTGAAGGAAGTCAGTCAATCCGTCAGAGGACTCTCTTGTAACCTAGAGGAAATATAGGGAACCAGGTTCCAAAGAGGAGGTACAAATCCTAAAGAGACCAGGGCTGAAAGAAGTCAAGGATTTGTCAGACAAGGTGGTACGTACTTTGAAGAGGTTCTTGATATGAAGAAAGGGTAGCCCAGAAAAATATAATGGCTGTATATCAAACATTTCAGAGGAAAGGGGAGGAATAAAAGGTGATTGAGATATCCAACATGTCCAGAGGCATCAATAGATGGAATAAATTGGTAATCCACCAGACTAGGGTGAATATTTTTCTCCCATCATGCTCCATATGCCACTTTCATTTGAATCCCTCGGGGGTGGTCAGCTAAAGTGCAGTGTTAGGTGTCTGCCTGCAAAACCCCTGAGTCATCATATCTGGGAGGATACTCTGGGTTTCTTAGTTTTTAAATGTTCTTGGACCTCAAGTATTCTTGTACATACAGGCAAGGGTGCTTCAATTTGCTTCAGAAATGGATAGAGGAACTCAGTAGAAAGAACTGGAGAAGCAGTACCAAGGCTCAATAGAGCAACCCATGAGGTCTCCCCTCAAATTTCAATCTTTATCTCCACTGTTGGTAATTATATCTTGACATCTCCAGTGACAGCCTGGATACCAGAGATGTCCCAGAGGTTGAAGTCGCAACAGAAGGCAGAGGCCCCGACGAGTTTCCCAGCACCCTGGGCAGCAGTGGGGAGAGTACTGACAGCTGGTCCCAGCTTGCCAATGAAGAGGACAACCCGGATGACACAAGTAGCTTTCTGCAGCTCAGTGAGCGATCCATGAGGTACCTACTTTTCCTTTGAATTTCAGAAAAAAAAGTTTCAAAAAATAATTCTAAAAGTAACAATATGTATATATATTTTTAAAAAGGCCTCTTTTGAGTCGTTCCTTGAAAAGACCTCCTAATAAAAAGAACATAAAGAAAAGCCTCTGTAAGGTCAGAAGCTTGCCTGTCATGATTTGTGCTGAGGGATATTGTAATAACCAAATATGATTTAAATTGCCTCGGCCAAGGTAGACCATCAGTTGTCCTTCCTTCATGCAAGCCCCAGCTAGTGCATTCAATGAAGACAACTGTAAATATTTCCTTAAGAGTTCCTACTACACCTGGTTTTGTTTTATGCTTTCTTTCTGGTTCATTTGTATTTCAGATGCAACCCAGGCTGGGTTATATGAGGCAAGTGTCTTAACACTGTGCCGTGATATTCGGCCCCTTTCTCTGCTTTGCCGTATGTTTAGTCCTCAGGAAAAGCTACAGTTCATAAGAACTTAGATACTCTCCATTTCACAAGTACAGACAGAGCCTGGAAGTTGGCTCAACTCTGCCGTGTTTCAGTACCTTCAGACTTTGAGACTTTGAAAGGACCAAAGCAATTGGGTGACATTAACTGTACATTATCCCCTATGAGGTGGAAATGAAAAGAAAATCCCTGCTTGTGATTTTTTCCCAAATCTAATTTTACTCTGAGCCAATAAGTTCACAGATGTTCTAGAAAATGGGATTCAGATGTACCTGGCTGTAATGACTTCTTAAAATTTTAATTTCTGAAGGGTCCAGGTTTTCTAAATTAAGGAAACTTTAAGAATGTTGTAAGAAAATTTTCCTAAAACTCCAAAAGCTGCTTTAAATATTACAGTGCAAAGACAATAAGTAGATAAGTACTTACCATCAGTATCAGGGCAAATTACCTGCAGCCTCCAATGTTTGAGTCATCTGATTCTAAACAGGAAATACATTCATCACCCCACACAAAATTCAAGAAATTGAGGGAGTCCAATTGGTGAGTCATGTTGCTCCCAGGGAATATGGTCTTATTGTACATCACACCAGTACTCACCCTGAAGCAACTGATTGGAAGAAGAGACATCTTAGGAAATAGAGAAGGTATGAAGAAAATCTGTGGGTTTCTTGAAGTTGGATACTCTCCATTTCACTAGTACAGACAGAGCCTAAAAGTTGGCTTAACTCTGCAGTGTTTCAATACCTAACTCACTTACAGGCTAACAATTAGACCACATGTTGATTGTGCAGCTTCTACAATTGATGTAATAAGCGATTCCTCCTTTTCCACCATATACAAGGTTTTTGATGTTGCTCCATCTTAAAGATTTTAAGATGAAGAAACTATAAAATGTTGGCACTTATAAAATGTTGGCCATCGTTCAACTTATAAATTCTGTACTTACATAGGAAATGAGTGAACCAGGTACATATTCTGTAGAATGTCTCTCAGAAAGATTCCTGAAGGACACATGGAAAAACATACATCCACTGGCTTCTGTCAAAAGTCATGAAGCATCCCAGTATCTCCCTCAGTCAGAGTTCTCAGAAGTATCTCAGTACAATAAATATATTCAGGGAGACCCTTGGTGGTAGATAAATATAATCACTGTTTTAGAATGAAGAATTATGCTAATTGTCACCCAGTAAATATGGTTCATGGGGCATGAAACCAAAACAGATATTAGGGAAACGATGACGAGGGAGAAGAGGAGAAGAAGTTTGGTCCTGATGATAACAATGACCAATTGCTTTGATCAAAAACAATGTCTTTTGCTATGTTTTCTTCTAACTTGGTCAGAAATACATCACATTTTTGAGTTCTGGAAACAAAATAAATTTCTTCTGGGCTCAAAGGAAGACCTTCTAAAACAGTGGAACATCAGTGTCAGGAATTTGGCCAGGTGGTGGAGACTGGCATTAATATGTAAACTTTTACTTTATCAGCAATGGCAACAGTAGTGCCACTAGCAGTCTTGGCATTATGGACTTGGACATTTATCAGGAAAACATGCCATCTTCTCCCATGATTAAGTAAGTAGCTGTTGAGATGCAGTGATTGTGAGACCACTACTCCAATTCCATCTGGCAACCCATTTTTGATCATTCAGATTGTGCCCAACCACCAGTGTCATCATGTCTGTGGTGCTGTCGTTCCATGTCATTGGAGCAAGAATAAAGCCTAGACAAGCCACATTTTACCACACCTACTTCCTGAATTCAAGTATCCCCCCTCATGAGATAAGCATTCTGAATAAGTCTCATCCATATAATTGTAAACCTGTGTAAACTTACGTAGCTGGACACACAAAAGCAAACATTCACTTCATTTATGCCATATTAGACAAAGTAGGTGATCCTTCAATAGAATATGGTGTTAATAGCTTTCTCTTTACCTTTCACACCTGGAATTTTTATGGTTAAGTGTATCCAAAGCCAAATTTTACCATGATGGGGATGAGTGAGTTCTATGCAATAATTCTGCTCCTCAACGTATGGGCATCTTCAAAAAAAATAATAGTAAGAGATAAAGTAAAGAAGCACACTATGTATGCCGTAAAGTATGATAAAGAAAAAGAAGTTTAAAAACAAATGGTGCAAGAAAAGGAAAACATCAGGCTTGAACTCTATTTAGAATTTGTGAGGATTCTGAAAAAATAAGTGGAACTCTACTTTTGAACATTAAGGATTAACTGATTATTTCAAAATTTCTTAGAGTTCAGGAGAAGTGAAAATGAAGTTAAATCTAGAGAGTTTTTTTTTTTTACCTATTTCCTTCATTGATAAGTATGTAGCACTGTAGCACTGTCCTCCCATTGTTCATTGATTTGCTCGAGTGGGCACCAGTAATGACTCCATTGTGAGACTTGTTACTGTTTTTGGCATATTGAGTATGCCACAGGGAGCTTGCCAGGCTCTGCCATGTGGGCAGGACACTCTTGGCAGCTTGCTGCGCTCTCTGAGAGGGACCGAAGAATCAAACCTTGGTTGGCTGCGTGCAAGGCAAACGCCCTACAGGCTGTGCTAGCTAAAGTATCTTTGCATTAGTGTATAATAAGCTATCCTCACTGCAGAAGTATTTTTCAGTAAGTAAATGTGCCAACAGCATTGTTTTCACGGACATCGTTCATAATCACAGATCACAAGATCAGATACTCAGTGCCTCGGGTTTTATTTCAGTTGTTTGAGTGTTTAGAACTAGAGTATAAAAATAAAACTAACACAAAATTATTTTGGAACTAATTTGTTTTCCTCCCTTAGGAAATATTTATTAGTCATGTTTTACACCTTCCCTATGGTACGAATCTTGCACCTTATAGATAACATGTTTTCAGGAACCATCACCACCACCCATTTAAGCATCCTGCTGATTCTTATCACAGAAACTGTATTTTCCACCTATCATTTTACTGAATGTCACTCTCAAAAGATTTAACAGAAATCTAGACCCTTGGAAAGTTGAACATTCTACTATAACTATTCAGATAAGTATTTTAAAATAGCCATACTCTCAATACCAGAAAAACAATTATTTATTATTATAGCTAGATACTACAGGTAAAACATTATGTAAGGAAAAATTTTCTTAATAAACAAGGGGTCACAGACAGAGCAAAGTTATAGCACTTGCCTTGCATGTAACCCATCCACATTTGATCACTGGTACCATATAAGGTCTCCTGAGTACCTCTAGGAGTCTTTCCTGAGCACAGAGACAGAGATCTGTGAGACATTTTTGTTTCTCTTAAGATTTCTTACTAATCTACCCCACCTGAATATAAAATAAAATTAAAATTAATATTTTTATTCACAGAGCCCTTGAACACCTGGGTGTGACCCAATTCCCTTCCCCAAATAAATAAGACTAATAAAGGCCCCAATTTCTAGGCAAGATACAAATATAGGACAACACAGGATTTCAAATTAATCACTGACATTATGCTCTTGGGTTCGTGCTTCCCCCACTATATAGAACACTATATACAAAATTAGTATAGACTTACTTATGTTAAAACCTCAAATACTGGACATGACCAAATTTAATAAAAATTTACTTCAGTTAAGTTTCTATTATTAAACCACCTCAGCCTGCAACAAACTTCTGATCAAAAAAGAAATATTTCAACAAATTGAATTAATTTTCTGTATAACTTATGTTCAGCAATTTGTTAATTTTTTCCTAATTACAGATCAAATGACCATATACACATACAAAATACTGCCTAAACTTAAATTAAAGTTGATATTGTTGTTACAGTCTAGGAAAAAATACTGTGTCAAGATCAATACATATGGTCCTTAAGTGAAAATTGAAATTCAGAAGTCTAAGAATACTCAAACCAAATGAGATCTCTGCAGTTTTCTTGTATGTTGAGACATGTAAGGATTGATGGAGAAACAATTAAGGATAAAGGAAGAATACCTCTCTGAGAATTTCACATACAAGTAATTGCAGCTAAAACCTTGTAACTAAGCTGCATAGCCTTTTATATTTTTTAAGCAAAAAAATATTTATTACACACCAAACAGTCTTACATCATCACCTCATTGACATTTCTCTAGCATTATTTCACGCTATAAAATAATGGCTCTCAACTCTGTGCTAGGAGTAGTCCCTGAGCACGGCCAGGTATGCACCCTCCCTTCCCCCTTCAAACACCATCAACCAAGAAAATGATGATTCTGAAACAAACTTTAGAAGCTCTGAGAACAAGACCCATCGTCTCATCTTCCATTTCTAGCTTCCTCTTCCTAAACATTACCAACCATGTACTGTTGTTTTCTCCCAAAGTGATTTAGTAGAAGACAAGGAGATTCTTAAAGGACAGTCACAGCACATAGAGGGTAAGCGACCTTCCCTTAATCTTAATACCCAATTTACCTGTGCTGTGCCCATGGAAAAGGATTGTAAGGCTGTGGTTGTGTCTGTGTTCAGAACATGCCCCTGGACTCCCAGTGGGAGCAGCCAGCCGCCAGGGCAGCCTGCTGGTCATCAACTTTGACCTGGAGCCAGAGTGTCCTGACGCTGAGCTTCGAGCCACTCTGCAATGGATAGCTGCCTCCGAACTTGGGATTCCTACCATCTACTTTAAGAAATCTCAGGAAAACAGAATCGAAAAGGTATCATGTTCTGTGTTTGGCTCTCAGTAAAGCTTTGTGTTTTGTGCTGGAACTCAGTGAATATCCCATGAAGCAATTTGCATTTCGATGGTTTGTTCTTGACTCTTTCACCTTAAAATTGTGACTTGTACTTTGAAATCTTCCACCTGCATGACATAATCAGGATCATTGTTTTCTTCATCCTCCATTTGTCTCAGTTTCTTGGTGATGATGGAAATTTAAGCTGGAAGATGGGAAAAGGTACATTTTTAAAATTCACCTTACTCAGAAATCAATCTCATCTTTACGTTCATTTAGAAGGCATTCTATCTATTGAAAGGCAAAGCCAGTCCAAAATGACACTTAAAAGAGACCGTGACATAGTGCCAAAGAAAAGGCATTGTTTTGTCCTCCAATAGGTTTGCCCCATGCATACTTTTAAATTCTTCTTCTCTAACTAGCAGAAATACAAAGCTGGCAAATATATTATTGGCCAACATAAAAATTAATAGCAGCTGTTACTGTAGTTAATTTCTAGGACCAACCTCTAAGTATGATAGAATCTAAAAAATGTTAATATTAAATGCAAATCAACCACTCTATAAGTTCAATTTTCCATAATTTAGCAATATTCAAATTAATACAATATTTTAGTTAATACAAGTTTGATATGCCAAACACAGTAATAACAAGTCTCAAAGTGGAGACGTTACTGGGCCCGCTTGAGCAAATCAATGAACAAAGGGAGGACATTGAGACAGTGCTACAAGTTAAAACAATATTTCAGGAGCTGGAGCAATAGCACAGCGGGTAAAGCATTTGCCTTACATGCAGCCAACCCAGGTTCGATTCTCAGCATCCCATATGGTCCCCTGAACACTGCCAGGGGTAATTCCTGAGCATAGAGCCAGGAGTAACACCTGTGCATCGCTGGGTATGACCCAAAAAGCAAAAAAAGAAAATCAAATTATAGCACAGCGGGTAGGGCGTTCGCCTTACAAGCGGCCAACTATGGCCGACCCGAGTTCGATTCCTCTGCCCCTCTCAGAGAGCCCGGCAAGCTACCTGAGAGTATTCGATATGCCAGACACAGTAACAACAAGGTCTCCAATGGAGACGTTACTGGGCCCGCTCGAGCAAATCGACGATCAATGGGAGGGCCTATTATTTATTATTATTAAATTTATTATTTAATTTTATTAAATTATTTATTATTCATTTATTGTTAATTTTCTGTCACTATGTACCAAGACCTCCCCAAATTGACTAAATTGAAACATTAATACCCAGATCTGTGGGTCTGATTCTGAGTGAAATTTCCTGTGTTCTCTGCTCAGAAATATCCAGACCAGATATCAAGATGGCAGCAGAGCGAGGCACTTACCTGAAAACTGTGGGAAAGAATGAGCTCCCACATTTGTTAATGTTCTTTATTTTCCCTTTTTTTGGTAAATAAAAACACTTACTGTAAACTAGAAGAGAAAGGCAAAGAAACTCCCTGGTGAAAAGAAGCTTAATATAGGACTTGGTATAGGACTAAGATAATTATGGCTCTTTTTTGTGGAGTTTTATAAGAAATGGGACTTTGTGTAACAGAGAATGCTGGAAGTTAAAGGTTTTTTGTATACGTCATTTTGAATGGAAATTGGATATTTGCATTTCTTATTGATTGACAAGAATGTTACAGAAAATACAAGGTTCAACAGATCCCTATCTGATCATTTGTCTTAGGTATTGCCCATTATTTTAGCTCCCCATAAGCCTCTTTCTGCAGTCACTTTACATTTCTCTTCGTATTTCCTACTTGTTACCTCACCTGAATATAGACACTGCCCCATGCTTGTCAAACCTTAGTTTGCAAGAGGATCAGTGGTTCACTGTTGAACAAATACTTCATCCTTCTTAACACCCACCTGTCTTGTGAAAAGAAACTGTGTGGAATGCTGTTCTACACTGACTCCTTCCTCCGGCCATATATAATTCCAACAACCCCCTGTCAGGAGTGCAACAGGAACAAACTCAGATGAAATATATTTCCTGGTTCCTGGTAAAATGCAAGATTTCTTACTTCATCTTCTTTCAGTCCTTAAATAATGTTGAAGCGTCACACATGTTCAGATGGTCTTTTTATAGAATAGATTCTTCTACAATCTACCACCATTTTCAGAGACAACATAATACTCTGTGAATTGATAACTTATAAATGCCCATTAGAGCAAGAGGTGTGTGACTAGCAACCTGATCATGTAAATCAAACTGATTTCACGTTTATTCTTCCCAGTGATTCTCAGTTCTCCAACAGAATGATGGATTTTTTTATTTCTATCTTCCTAGAAACAAACTGTCAGTTTTATAAAAATTTAAAAAAAACAATGAAAAAAACAAACTTTAAATGACATTTTGCTGGATCAATTTGGGTCAAGAACCATAGTCCTAATTTACAGGTCCAAATCTTCTCTTTTTTTTCCCTTAATGTTAAATTTCTCAGAACATGTAGTGGCTTCTCCATAAATAGGCACGACTTGCTGTCTATGACAGAAAAGGTTAAATAAAGTAAATCCTTAATCAAAAATTTAGCTTCCTGGGGCCAGAGGAGGTAGGACACTTGCCTTACACATGCTGACCTGGGTTCGATCCCAGAATCCCACCTGGTTCCCTAAAGACCACCTAGAGTGATTCCTGAATGAAGAACTAGTAGTAACCCCTGAGCAGTGTGGGGTGTGGCCCCAAACGAACAAACACAAAAATTTTAACCTCCTTTCTTTAATCAACAATGCATTGGCAAAGCTCGTTCTGATTCTTTTTTCTATTAGCCTGGAAATTAAATGGCCATTCTCAGGTATGGTAATAAAGAGATTGATGTTTTCTACCTCAGTACTTTGCTAAGCAAAACCAAAGTGTCTCACTAGCTTTTCATAACCTTGGGGAAGCTTAAAGTAACATTTTTGTTGAGATTAAAAGAAAATAAAGTGCAACAGGAACAAAGTCAGATGAAATATGAGTTTCCACTAACACTCAATTATTAAATCCCGCACAGATGTGTAGCTTCATCTCTACATGAATTCAGAATTTTATGGATAAGTTAATTACTCAATATGCCTGGCATATTACTGGCATATTACTAAAATTATAGAATATAACAAATTAAGATAAAATTATTCATTTTTCCACTGGTGCCTGTGAGCTTAAACTGGCACCAGTATTAAAATGCACCTAAAGTCTTATAACTGACCCTTCTGATTGCAAATTCCAAGCATCCTGGCTACCTTAAATACTGTCTTTTCTCACCTATAATGACACCTTCCTTTCTAAACTCTCCATTGTATTTTATCTAATAACTGAAATACTAAATCTACCTGGAAAACATGCATTCAGGATATTTATCTGGTGTCTATTGAGTGTGAACAATGATAGAAGGGGCAATGTTCTAAGACTTTGGATAACAGGAAACAAGAGACCAAAATTTTTTACCTCCTTGGAGTAGAAATTCTAGTTCAGGAGGGTCCCAAGGAAGGGAGAATATAAACCTAAATTGAGAGTGCCTTGGTAAGTAACCTTGAAATGTGTTGTCAATGCATCTGGAGAAAGGAGATGTGAAACACACTGAAAAAGCATTTCTTATTTTTCATCCCTTAACCAAATGCACACACAGTAATTTCAATTCATATTCTTAGATCCCTTCTTGAATCTGATAACTTCCTAGGAGTAGAGCCAGAAATAAGCATTTTTCTCAACATCTCTCAAATACAGCAATTCTAGTAAATGGTTTTTAATTTTAATTCATAATGACATCAGCATCAGTTAGATTGAATCTACTCAAGGCAAAAAAGAAAAGAAAGAAACATAAAAACAATGACTTTTAAAAATATCAGTTGAGCTACAGAAGATGTTACAATGGGTAGGGAGCTTGTCTTTCAGGCATCCTACCCATGTTTGATCTCTGGTACCTCGTTTGGTCTCCCAAACCCACCAGCAGTGATCCCTGAGTGCGGAGTTAGAAAAAATGCCTGTGCACCTCTGGATATGGCATATATATGGGCACATATAAACAAATATGTTTATATGTATTAATGTTATAAACACATGAACATATATGTATGTATATGGATAAGTATATATATAACTGACTTTTATTCTATTTTTTTGTAATTTTTATGTTTATGCATAAATATATATATATAACTGACTTTTATTCTACATTTTTCAATCCCAAAGTATGGCTTTTCATCAAATTTTTTTCTAAGTCCAATAAGTTTCTGTCAACTAGAAATAGTCATTGTAAACCTAGTGCTCTTCTTGGCTTTGTCTGCATTGAATATTATTTTGTTTCCCTGGAGTCAGTGCATAGAAAGAATGTGCAAAGAGTGGAACACGTACTTACCTTCCTAAGAAAATGGGGGGATGAGGAAAAAGAAGAAAATTTACCTCTAATATCTTATTCCATTCTATATGTAAAGTGGAAAAGAAAAGATACTGATGACCTTGACTGCCCACCAAGTCCCAAATAAGAATTGTTGTTTTTACAAATTTCTTAGGAAAGGTAGAAGAAAGTGAGAAATCAAGTCTATCTTAGTTGGACTTGTCTAACAAAATACTAAGGACTGTAGCACTGCACTCTAGCACTGCACTGTCCTCCCGTTGTTCATCGATTTGCTCGAGTGGGCCCAGTAACGTCTCCATCGTGAGACTTGTTACTGTGTTTGGCATATCGAATACATCATGGGTAGCTTGTCAGCCTTTGCTGGGTGAGTGAGATACTCTAGAGAGGGGCGGAGGACTCAAACTCGTGTCAGCCACGGGGGCCGCGTGCAAGGCAAATGCCCTACCTGCTCTGCTATTGCTCCAGCCCGTTAAGGACTGTGTCGTCTCTAAACAGACACAGATTAAAAACTTGAAGAGCAAACAGCAGATTTGGGTCCTGGCAGGATTCTCTTCCATGCTATGCTCTCCCATGCTGAAGAAGAACCTTTGGTATCTCTTCTTCCTTTTCAAAGGGCAAGTGTCACATCATAAGTCACATCCTCATGACCTCATGTAAACCAGGTTATTTCCCCAAAGATCTACCTCCCTCTTTCACAATTACATGGGGATTGCGGGGGAATGGTGAGAGATTCAACATGTAAAATTAGGTAGGAGAAACAAATATTTAAGCTATCTCAGATACTAAGTCTATTTTTTTTTAAGGATAATTGTCTTGAATGGGAATCTTTCATCACAGTTCTGAGACAGAGTGTGTGCTATTATTTCCTGGGGAGTTTGTTTGTTTTTATAAATTCTAATGCTCTGGTCAATTAAATCTGAATTCCTACTTGGCATAAAACACAGCCAAGAGGATTTTTCTAAAGGTCCCTGTTGGTTTCAGAGTGCAACCAAGTCTGAGATAAGAATCATGGCTCAAGAGGCCATAATTACAGAAGCAACATATAAACTAACTCACTGTACATAATGAAATGAAGTTTTGCTTGAAGCAAAGGAAGAAAACTGTTTTTAAAAAACTAGGTTGAATATTTTCCCAATTCCACATAGTTTGCAACAACTCCCATTGATTGCACCATATGATTTTGTAGAGTACTGTTTCAGTAAGCGCATTGAATTATACAAAAGTCATTTACCATGTCATGGCTTTATTCAGATGAGTCTACCAATGATACACCTCCACAAAATGCAATTCTAGTTTTCTAATGAAAGATGTTTGCTCAAGAAAATGCCATCTATAATATAGTGGGAAAAAATCTCATTATTATTGATTGTGGAATGGCATGCTATGAAACTATTTATATTCTTCAAATATAAATTGGAAAGAAAATCCAGATTCTTGTCATATGGAAGCTGATTATCAAATAAACAAAGTAAAGACAAGAGCACACCAAGGGCAGCTGTAAAACGGAAAGTGGATTTCAAAGGCCATAGAGATGAGCTGGATAGAGAATCTTCTGCTTTCTCCATAATCTTAGTTTTATTTTTATCTAAAATATTTTCTTGGGGCTGGAGCAACAGCACAGCGGGTAGGGCATTTGCCTTGCATGCAGCCAACCTAGGTTCAATATCCAGCATCCCATATGGTCCCCTGAGCACCACCAGAAGTAACTCCTGAGTGCAGAGTCAGGAGTAACTGTTATGCATCGCTGGGTGTAACCCAAAAAGCAAAAAATTAAATAAATAAAATCTTTTCTTTTAATACGAAGAAATAACGAAAGTATAAGACCTTGCTCATCAGTTTGGTAGGTATTACAAGACCTGTGTCTGACATAAAGACACCATTGCCTCCAAGGATGCTATATTTTGTATTTTGTGGTAGCAGATCACTTACAAAGTTTCCTTATTAGGATAGCAGCATCTTTTTGTAAGCCATGAGATATAATCTAGCCTGTGACCATTCCATGTGCCTGGGTGAGTGACCTTGCTGGAGGGCATTTTGAAAACTTTGATCAGTCAGCCACATGCTGAGAATATTACCACCTTAGGAGTCTTTCCTTTTCCAGACCAACCTGGAACAGAGGGGAAGAAGCTAATGTTGGCTTTCTGCAAAGTTCTGTGCCTAGTGTGCCTTCTGGGGGAAGGTAACCACTGACTTCCGCTTCTCTTTCAAGGCAATGATTCAGAGATGAAAGGTGGCAACGAGGTGGCAGTTGAGTCAGCCAAGCTTTTCTGAAACAAACCAAAAAAAGGGGGAGATGAATAAGTTTATACTTCTGTGTACTTTGTGGGACTTCACTCTTTATAATGAATGGTAAAGAAGGCAAACACCCTCAAGCATAGAGTCTGGCTCAAGGCTACTGGTGATCCCTGAGAAAAATCTTGAAAAGTTAACAGTTCAGTATGCTCTTTATATAAACTCAGAGAGGGGCCTTTCAAACTTTCTCTACCCATGAAACCTACTTTCCAGAGTCTCATTACTGTAATATGAATTGCTATTATAGTGATGTTAAATTATAATAAAGCAAATATCATTGAAATGGGATCAAAACTGAAAATAAAAGTGCCCTCTTATATATAGGGATATGGGCAAGCACATGAAAAACAAGAATAGACAAAAGTCTAACTGAGTCAGGATGTCAAGCACCCCTAATCAACAAGTCACTCTGACAATAAACCTTTGAAATAGGGGACCAGAGTTATAGTAAAGCAGTTAGGATACTTGCCTTGCATACTCTTGACAGTGGTCAATACCCAGTATTCAATATGATCCCCCTGAGTATCACCAGGCATGATCCTGAGCAGAGCCAGGAGTTAATTCCTGAGAATGTGTCTCCCCAGAAAAACAAAACAAAACAACAGCAAATAAACCCCAAAAGCCTTTGAATGTATGCAACTAGAATGAAACTAAGTTAAGTCCCAGCCCTCTTCAGATTTTGTCAGTTGCTGGCAGAGGTTCTTCCCAAATAACAACCCTCTCCTTCTCCAGAAATTGACTCCCCAAGAGAAGTTCTGGATGACAATGAGCCACACTCACCCTGATGCACCCAACCCAAAGTAGACTTTGTAACTGCCTCTTTTTATGCTGACAGTTACAGTCTTATATTAGTGTGGGGTTATTCTCCAAATAAACTCTATGATAATTATATATGATTTGATTATGTTGAAAGTGAAACCTCTTTACCCAGGCAGGAATAGACTAGAGATGGACCATATACAACAGTCAAATAGTACAGAATCATCCTAGGTTTCAATTTAGTAACTGATACAAAGGAAAGGTTAAAGATGAACTCAGGGGATTAGGGGGTTAGGATTATAAATGCTCACAAGAGGACTAGTGGGAGGAAAATGAGCAATTCACTGATGAAGCCTAAAACACTTAGGGTGAATATCCAACACTCTACCACTGAGCTCCATCTCTAGCACAGCTGGTAGTCGCCATGGCCATTGCCCCAGTCTAAGCTTGTTCAGTCTTTTCCTGTGTGTCAACTCTAATTCGTTTTCATGGAAAAACTTACAAGTAGGAAGTTCTTGAGCAAGCCATCCCAATATTAGGTATCAGAGTAAACATAAAACATAAAATGTCCTTCACTGGGAATTATCTGCTCTGGTTATGGATGTTGCTTCATACTCAGATAGTCCTCTTGATCATCTTGATTGTATTTGGCTCACTTGCGGTCAGACTTTTCTTCTGTCATTCAGCAAATTTTTATGGAAGCACCCACTATGCGCAGGTATAAGATGTTAATGTTAAGATGTCTGGGATATTCCCCTGGGGAGATGAGTTTTCATAATATCATTGTCATTTGCCTCCTGTTTGTCATTCTTTTTATATCATCCTAAAACTCTCCAAGATGTTTCCATGCATTAAAAGTTAAGTATTTTATTTTCCAACCTCGAAAATTGCTTCATTCAGTTGAAGTCAATACAAGACAAGTGAGTACAATAAAGTGCTGATTTCTGTACAAATAGTCCCATCACAGCTGGAGAAGAAATGTAATTTAATAGTAGTTCTCTATATGACAACTTCCAGTAATTGAAATGAATTAACAAATTCAAACTAGAGAGAGAAAGAAAGACCAGAATGAAATTAGCATTATAATTTCTGGCTCATCTGAAAGTCTGACAAATTTAAAAAGAGAAGAGAAAAAAGATCCTAGAAGAAAACATGAACAAATCACTTTAAATTTGTGAATTTAGCCACCATTCCACAGACAAATGCCTGTAGGCATAGAACAGTTGAAATTTACTGAACTAGAAACCACAACATTCATCCTTTTTATCATATAGACCTTTTTTTAAAATGAAATATATCATATTTTCCATCGATACTTTCTTCTATTGTTCTAAATAAGCCTCAATGTTGTATTTTTCCACCACCACATTGCACAGTGTTATAGTAGCACTGTAGTACTGTAGCACTGTCCTCCCTTTGTTCATCAATTTGCTTGAGCGGGTACCAGTAACATCTCCATTGTGAGACTTGTTATTGTTTTTGGCATATCAAATACAACAACAGGGAACTTGCCAGGCTCTGCCATGCGGGCGGGATTCTCTCAGTAGCTTGTAGGGCTCTCTGAGAGGGATGGAGGAATCAAAGCCAGGTCAGCCGCATGCAAGGCAAAGACCCTACCCACTGTGCTATCACTCCAGTCCAGTGTTATAGTAAAAAATAAAAATTTTAAAAAGACATTTAATTAGGAAAACATAATTTACTGCTAACTTTTTACCTTTCAGGCCCTGATTTTTCCCACTGATTTCCCTTTTTAGAACACTTCAGCTCAAAACAACTTGTGTCTAAATTGTGGCTAGTTGAAACCAGATGACAAATCTAGGTCTCCAGTCTTGCCTTTTCTTGTTGTAGTGGAAAGTCACCTCCACTTGATCTTGCTGAGGGGAGAGGAAGCTTTTCAAAAATCAAGAAAAACAAATGAGCCAAAAGTTTACCCTTGATGAGTTTGACCCAAGTGTGTCCATCCAGTAAGAGACTCATTAAAAGTGGTTGTTGGAATATTATCGGATTGAAATTCAATCATGAACAACTTTGTAAAAAAAAAAAAGATTAAAAAATAAAAATAAGTGAAAGAAAAAAACGTGTTTTGCTATCCTGCCAGAATGACTCTTATCTAAAAAAGAAAAGCAGAGCTCTGAAGAAACTCTTTATCTAAGACTGGCTCTCGAAAGAGGAATGCCACCTAGATGCCCTTATAGCAGCCCCTGCTGAGATAAAAATTCCACTTCAGTTGAAAGAAATCTCTAACCATCTGAAGTGTCTGAAAAGAAAATGACAGTCCTAGAAAACAGTATCCTGTCAAACTTGAGACATTACAAGGAGTGGAGGGTCCTTGACTTTGAAGAGAGTGGTTGAATAAGATGATTTTGGAGATCACTTGAGCTATGTAAGTTCTAACTCTGTGCTTTGCTTTAGTTTCTAGATGTCGTGCGGCTGGTTCATCAGAAGTCCTGGAAAGTGGGGGATATCTTTCATGCAGTTGTCCAGTACTGCAAAATGCATGAGGAGCAGGAGGAAAGGATCCCAAGTCTCTTTGATTGGCTCTTAGAACTGGGATAAAACAACTATGCCCTGTAGGGTATTCTTTTCTTTAATCCACCTTAGATTACAGTGGTTTGCTCGAAATTTTCTCAAAACATCTCATCACATTAGCAGAGCTATTAAAAAAATGAACAAACAAAATCTGCTGCTCAAGTCTCTCACACATGGAAAAATCTGAAGACAATAAAGTGATAGGTCTTTATAGAACCATAGAAATGGTAGAAGAGTTCAAAAGAGTTTGTATTAGATTGACTGGCTGAAAAAATAGAAACTTTAATGGGGTTCAAATTCAGAGCATATAACTAGTCCTAAATTCCAGGAACCTGCATTTACATATTTTTACATCTTTTTAATAATATAAAATAATGCAATGTCTTGAATTTTTGTGAATCAGTTGAAAACAAAGTGACTCATCAAAATAATTTTATAAATTATACTGAGACCTTTGTTTTACCCTTCTGAACAGTTGAGTCCAGGAAAATATGGATTAAAAAGTTTCCAGAAATATGAGATTCACATTTGCACCCCATTATCAGCAGATATTAATAGAAGTAATATCATACGAGTCTTCTACTGGGGAGATTCCTTTATTTACTGCAACCCACTGATCCCCAACAATATCAGGTTCTGAATTAACCACAAAGTATTTGCTTCTGTTGAGCAAGAGGAAGATCAATGAAAGATTGCCCAATTTCCATCTCTTTATGACTTGAGTTACATGATTATAGAATCTTATTCTACAAAAAAAGATTTCTTATATTAAACAAAAGACTTCTGACACAAATTCTGCTTGCATATTAAATTAATATAAGACAAACTTTCATTTTATTTTTATTGTAAATGATGGAGAGATAGTTATCCTAAGTAATATATTAAGGTAGTTGAAAGGGTCATAAATAGAAAGAAATTATTGTTTTATGTCATTTGTAACATAGAAGCTGGTGACTTGCTTCCTCATTAATGAATTGGGCACAAGTGGATGGTTGTGTGTGTCCTTTTTAAGGCCAAGAGTGGTATTTGACATGCCCAGGAAGGATCAGAAACATTTCCTGTTTCAGAGACAACGCTGTTAAACTTGTGGAATAAACACTTCATCTTGTTTAGTATTTTAATAATAGAGATTTACTGTTTTGAAAAAATGAAAGTGTCTGATGTCTACCTAATAACTATTTTCCCTGTAGCTAAATAAGCTAAGCTGTCTTTTATTTTCTTGATCAAAGAAGGTATTTGTTAAAGATTTCCTGAAATACTATGCTTTTACACTATTTTTAAAGATTGTGATGTAATTTTAAATGTGAACAAGGCTCGTGTCATCATTGCAAATCTTCTGTGTGATCCACACCTTGAAATATCAAGAAAGTTTCATTAAAGACAAGTGTCGTTCTCACTGTTCCTCAGTACTTTCCCAATGCTCATAAGACTATACCACACTTAGGTTGTAAGTTTAATTTGACACATTAAGAAGTATCAAACTTTAAAATTTACCCATGAGCTCAAATTGAAACATCTTTGTGACATTGAAAAATGATCTATTTATTTTAAAAATAATCCTGGCATAGTGTGTTGACTTTTTATGCTCCAATGAATGTTTACTTATTCTATAAAGCACAAGTATTGGATTGTAATCATGTGATGAAGTTATATGTGTTGTACCTTATGTTGCAGAGTTATAAATAAATTTTTGTTGCTAAAATATTGACAACTGTCTTCCAAAAATATAATCATCTATAGAAAAGCAGTCACAGAGTAAAAGCACAAAGTTTAATGTCATAGATAAGTTTTGCTATCTTTACTGAATTTCCACATTCAATTTTGGAATAAGAAAATATTCTGATTAAATTTGTAAAAAATAGTTGCCTTTATATAACTTTTTATGAGTCACATTTCTCTATTGTTGCACTGTTGAAATTTAGAGCTTAATCATTATATGATGCAGAGGGTTATCCTGCATTTTATAGGAAGTTTAGTAGCATCCCTGACTTTTAACTGCTGTACTCTAGAAACTATTTCCACAACAGACATGTCTCCATATACTGTCAAAAATCCCCTGGAGCTGGGGTTAAGGACAAAAAGCACTATTGGTTGAGGATATATGTCTCAATGCACTCATGGGGTTCTTCTAAGATTCCAGGTATCTGGATAAAAGAAGAGGAATCTATGACTCTAGTTTATGGAATTCTATGAGAAATGAGAAAACCAGGCTTATACACACACACACACACACACACATACAGACACACACACACACACACACTCCCCCAAGGCTCATAGGTTGTGACTTTTACAGCAAGACTGAGAAATAAGAGCTAGAGGGCAGAGGTCTACATACCTTGGGAAAAACTAATCTAGATGCCAGCTCACTGGCAGTAAACTCATCAAATTTTGAAATTAAAGGTCACTGCACTTTCAACCCAGGAAATAAATGATTTGACTTTATGCAAATAAGGCATGGAGAATCAAGAGCTCTTGATCCACTGAAAGGAAAACATGAGTAAATTTATGTACTTCAGAATTTGCCAGTAGGCAAGAAGAGAATATCAAATAAATGCAATCCCTGGAGGCTTGAAAGACAACACAGTGACAGGCACTTGCCTTGTGTTTGTTTTACCTGGGTTCAATTCTCCAGCAGTATGGATGGTTCCCCAGAACCACACCAGTGGTGATTGTTGAGGACGGAGCTAAGAATAAACATTGAGCACTGCTGGGTGTGGTCCCAAACCAACAACCAACCAAGCAAAAACAACAAGATGTCTCTGGACATTAGGAAGCAGAGATTGTTTTTGAAAAGTTATTGCAAGAATTTTAAAGAAAAAGAAATATTTGTATTGCCAGTGGGACTCATTAGAGAGACCATAGCAAAAAGCATGTCAGCTCTGTCATGGTCTCAGGGTTAAGCAAAAGAGGCTTCCTTTGATAGCATCCAAGCTCTAGAATCAAGTTTGGGGAAGTAGGATGGATAAGATGAACCAGTGGAGGAGAAGACCAATAGATGAGAAAGCATTTTATCGTAAACACTGTCAGGGTCGATCCAAACCATTCTGGGCACCATAATGTCTAAACAATGCTGCATCTTCAGACTCAGACATTGAATTGCCAACCAGGCTGAGGATTGAGGGCACCTAGGAACTCCTGAACAACTAACTCTTAGGAGGTTCAAACCCCTCCTTCTGCCCCCGCTCAAATGCTTGTCCTCAGTATCTTAGATTCAGCCTCACTTTCTCTCGTGTCTTCCTTGTTCTTCAATTAACCCCTTCAGAGATGGTCTTTGGCTAAGCACTTATAAGCAATTATTTATTTGCTTTTGGAGGATTCCCATCACTTTAACCTTATCCCCTTTACTCTTTTAACTGTCTTCTCTGCCATTTTCTGAAAAAGAATGTGTCAGGGACTTCAAATTCTACCAGGATGTTCTGAGTACAATATGACTCAGGTGCAAAATTATTTCCTGACAGATGGTGTTTTCTCTCAGCTGGATATCTGACCCAAATCTAGACACTCATAATGCATTCTTCTTCTGTCATATTACCAACACTGAAGCAAGACCAGTTAGGAGCAAGAGTTTCTCTCTTGCAGAGGAAAGCCAAAGGAATTTTCATTAGTAGAGATGGAATATATAAATATATGCCTCTCGGAGATCCCAGTAAGCTACCGAGAGTATCCCGCCCACACGGGCAGAGCCTGGCAAGATCCTCGTGGCGTATTCGATGTGCCAAATACAGTAATGACAACAGGTCTTATTCCCCTGATCCTGAAAGAGCCTCCAATCATTGGGAAAAGTCGAGTAAGAAGAGACTGCTAAAATCTCAGGGCTGGGATGAATAGAGATGTTATTGGTACCCGCTCAAGTAATTCAACAATCAATGGGATAACAGTGATACAGTGACAGTGATACTGAGATGGAATGGAAGTGGAGGATAGCAGGAGATTCTCCAGCTTTAAGCTTCCTTGTTTCTTCTTGCTCAAGTGCACTTTTGGTAACATTTCTCCTGCCTGAGCTTTCAAACAACAGGACAACTGTTAAAAAGCGAACAACTGCCAGGTTTAGGGGAGTGGGGTGACAGGCACAAATACGTTGCAAAGCAATAACACAGAAATGTATATGAAGGGTCTCAAACACATGGGTGATGCTGAGAGAGTAACACAGTGCGCTAAAATTGTAACCATCAATTAACAAATAATGGGAGGGAACTGGGAGAAAAGGAACATTGGGTTGGAGGTGACAGAGGAAAGGGAATAGAGTCATGAGCAACTTTGTACACCAGTACCAAAAACTTGAACCCAAGTGCCTACACTATTATTACTTTTCTAGAATTAAAGTTAGTAAAGAAGACCCAGCAACATTTAAGAGGCAGAAAGCCACCAACTGCACACCAAAAGTGTCTAACAATGCCTAAATTAGATAAGGTGTCTCTTCCTTCATTTTTGGGGCAGCAGGATATTTGGATGAGGATTTAGAGTTAAATTCAGGCGTATTTTATTATTGTAGACATATCAGGCATATTATCATAGCAACTTACATTAAGGTGCCTGCCTCATAAGCTGAAATTTTAAATTTCCAGTTGTATGTGCCCTCCAGCATTGCACTAATAGTTTCAGAAAGATCCTGTCTAATTCCATTTTCCTTCTTAATATAACAAACTATGTGGTTAACCTCGTGTATGAGATAATTACCCACTGGAATGTCCTACAAATTGCTTTTTCGTAGCGAGAAGGGAAAACATGTTCTCAACATGAGGCACAAAATCAGTTTTTTAAATGGACATCAGGTACATGAAATTTGGACTACAGCATTTGGGTTGTTTCCGTCTTTTGGCCAATGTGAATGAAGCTGCAATAAGCATGGGTGAGTCTGTGTCTTCTCCAAATCCCATTTCCCTTTCTGAGGCTAAGCACTCAGAAGTAGGACGCTGAAATATAAGATAGGTGAATGTTAAATGTTTTTGAGGAAACTCCATATTATTTCCCATAGTGATTTTGCAAACTACAATCCCACCATAGTGCATAAGGATTCTCTCTCACTGAATCCTATGTAGTATAGAAATGCCTTTTAGTTCTTCATCAACTGCCAGAGGAAAAGTTCTGTTGCCCTGAAAATTTATTTTTCCTTCATTCTAGGTTTTCTGAAAATAGATATAAAAGTTTTAACAACTGCCACTCAGAAACTAAAATATACTTTTCATTTAAACACATAACAATTATAATGTTTCAGATAATAGTTATCTTAACCATAGTAAAAGAGGCCTTAAAAATGACATCAATAATGATATAGAATAATTCCCATATATTCCCATATATGACACTAAAGAAATTAGAAGATCTAGATTTCTATGCCCTAAAAATCTATTAGTGTTTGGCTAAGTATTTCTTGACATATAGGCCTTGGTAGGGCCAGTGTCCAATTCACAGTAAAGTAAACCAAGAAAAGACCCTCAATATACCGTCTTTTCTACTGAGCATCCCACATATTTAGCTATTCATTCCCCACACGTCTTTGGGAACAGGAGTAATGAGCACTC